GCCTGGCGTGCTACAGTTCATGGGGTCGCAAAGAGTCGGACATGACTGAGTGACTGAAGTGACTGACTGAATCAAAAATAACTAGAAAAGGCAAATACAGTAAAATGTTGAGAATTTCTGCCTCTAGAAAAAAGCAGTGGAACACACAATTCTGAGGGGTTTGGGGCAAAAGGCAGCATACAAACAGGACATGATCGGATATGAGGTGAGAGATTTTGGTATAAAGCAGGTCCTATTTTCTAAATTAATCTGGCTAAAGGTAAGTTGGAGGATTGTGATTGGTGTGTGTTAAATTTCATGACAGTTGTACCTGTCCCATAAGTGCAAGCCAACTTAGGCTTTAACTTGCAATGTGAGCCCCCATTTTGTTAGTCCTGATAAACAATTTATCACATAAAAAGAGCTTTTGTAAATAAAACTATAAAATGTAACAAATACTAGAAAATGGAGCCAATGATTAACATAAAAGAATAGTATCTATAATCATTAGAGTTTATTTCTGAAGAAAAAAGAAGAAAAAGAAAGCAATACCTGAAACTACACATAACTCAAATAAGGAAATGATTATCATGTAAATTATGCATCTCCTACGGGTGAACTAGCTTAAAATTTGTATGCACACTTCTGAAATTAGAACTAGAGACTTCTGCTTATCTTGTATATAAACACACACATCTTTCTTGGTTAATATTTTATGACACTGATCATTTTATATGACAATGATGAAAAGTAGTTGTTTTGATTAGTGAGAAAGAAGGATTGACATTATCAATAAGTGCAATTTTGTGAATCAAGATATACAACTTTAATCTGTTGACACTTCAGAAACTTTAATAAATACTATTTCCTAGATGAAAATAATTAAAATTCCAATCAGAATTCTAAAGAATTTTTTATGTGTGTTTTTCTCTTTGACATTTATAGTTTTTGCTTATTAAGCCTAAGAGAAAAGTTCTGACTTTCATCACAATAAAAATGTTTAGTAATTATTAGAAAAAAAAATTGAAAATGCATAGCCGTGTGTCCATATTAACATGTATGCTACTGCTAAAATATTTTAAAAACTGATCCTTGTGCAATAAAAGTTCAAATCCAGGAAGAAAAGAAAGTGAGAATGTTTTTTTGTATCAGAGCTGACTTCAGTAGTGGAAAAAGAACCTTCAGTAACCTTGTTAGAACAGTGAGGTAGGTGTAGGGACAAATTAAGGCCATACCCATGGCATTTATATTACAAGAAATAACTTTCATAGGGATTCAAGTTGTAAGCACTTAAAAGACAATTCCGAAGTTCTAAAATTTAAATTTCTTAAATTCTTAAGGAATATACAAATGTTTGTAAAATATAAGGCCTTTCAGCTTCTTTCCCTGGCAACTCTTGCCCTTCACTCCTATCTCATGCCTGGGACCCTGCCCCAGGCTTGGGAACACAGCCTAGGTGTCCTGTGAGAGGCCACGGATATGCACAGCACTCCACCTCTTCCAAGTCCTGTTCTCTTACAGTAGATGTGGCACCACTACAGTTAATAATAAATATTTGCAGAGAGATACATTGATGCTGTAAAATATTATTTCTCCTTAAAGTAGCAATCACCAATTTAGTGTTCATCCATGGATCTTGCCTGCATTAGTTATCACTCTGGTGTTCTAATGGTGAATTCAATTTTTGTCTTCCTTTGAGAAAGTATAAAGGAGCCTCTGACATTAGGGAACTGGCCTGACATTTACAGCCTGGCTGTCAATTAAAGCTCTTGTCTCAGAGCAACACAGTGCTGTTTTCCTGTTGGACATAAACAATCTCACTGAACACCAAGTGGACAAGGTCATTTTATGACTACAATGATGTAAGACAAGCAAGACCACTTTATCTTTTGGCATTGTATTCATTTCCTCAGTCGTGTCTGACTGTTTGTGACCCCATGGACTTTAGCCTGCCAGGCTCCTCTGTCCATGGTATTTTCCAGGCAAGAATGCTGGAGTG